TCCGGAGCGTTCTGGAGGCGTCCGATGAGTGTTTCTCAGAACCAATTTGGAAATTTCAGGCTTCTTCGGAGGTGTATTGGTCTCAGAACTGGCCTCTGCCGTCATCTTCACCGCCGGGGGAAAACGTCGTCCTGATGATATCTTCTGCTGCTTTTCTATCTACACAGCAAGGTGCACGGCTTCCTCGAGATCCAAGAAGGGTCGCAGATCCAATTCTTGTCGAATTTCTCTATTCAATCCGTGGAGAAACCGCGCGATCGTTGCTTCTCGATCCTCCCTGACATCGGCGCGCATTAGCAGCAGCTCAAGTTCTTGAAAATAATCTTCCACACTGCGTGCCCCCTGTCGAATTCCTTCTAAGGTCTCGTGTAGCTCGCGTTGGTAATAATCAAGAACAAAACGTTCTTGCATTAACCCACGTAGCTCATCCCAATTTTTCACCTCTAGTTGCAGGTTCCTTCGCCGTCGGAGACGAATCTGTTCCCACCACTGAGCAGCGTAATCGACAAACTCATATGTGGCCAAAACTATTTTCTGCTACTCTGAATAATTGCCACACTAAAAGAACAAAATCAGTTTTCGTTCTCAGTCCAGGTACGTTGTGGCATTTTCATTCCTTGAAATGCCGGCACAGTCAACTTAATTCCAGGAGGAATTGCTGGCTCGTCTTCACGATTGCATCGTCGATCTCGAGCCGACGGATCTAGATTGGGTTCAACCACGACAAAAAGCCGTTCAAGCTCCGCAATCCGATCTACCAACGCCGGATTTCCATCAAGATTTTCGTCATCGCGAACTTCCCCTTCACGAGCTATGTTTTCCGGCTGAACAATTGCATCAATTCTTTGGTTGATTTCCTGCCTGAATTGGTTCAAGCTTGTGTCAAATCGTCGCATCAACTCATCTATGTCAATCTGTTGTCCCGCCATTGCTTGATTGTCTACTTGAACCTCATAATTTAATTCGTCGTCGTGCTCTGGTTTTCGGCGTACAGCTTCAGGGTCGTTGGAAATGGGACCCTTTGACCTTGTCCAATGCTCTGTCCCAACAATGAGCTTCTCCGTCCTGTCCACTGTGTATGAACCGGGCTCTGATTACCACTTGATAAGCCCAGAATGGGTTGGATGGATCCAATCACAAGAGAGATTGAACTCGGCTAATGGAGAACACAAAAACAGGGCTTGGTGTTCTTGTATGGGATGGAAGTTTCGTGCAATCCTCACAAAGGGAGAAAGGCTCGAAACTACATGTAGAAGCCTGGCCACGATCAGCGGGTTAGCTGAACGATACAAGCACTCAAGCATCCTAGGTCTCGCCCTAAAGCACTCTCAAACTCGCGAAGCAACAAGCTTGTGAATCAAACTCCAGTTTGTATTCAATCGAACAGAATATGATAATTACAACCAATTAAAACGACTTAAATAGACCTAATAAATCCTAAGAACTCGTGAAGAAGTCCCAATTACAATCTAACATGAAAAAGGAATCCAAAATCGACACAGAAATGAATTAAACTTAAACGTCTACTAATCCTAATCTGATTAGGATTCGGATTTCTTAGTCTTCCAGGCAGAAATTCCAGTCTCAAAGCGATCTTTAGCTTCCTCGTTCGAGCCCTTCCAGCTATCATCTTGATCAGCCAATGCCTTTTCGATGAACTAGAAGAAACCTGCTTTCATGTGGCGTGAATTTGGAAACTCGATTCTTCCCCAAGCTCATCGAATTGAAGCTCAAAGTCGTTGTCCCGAACTCGCTTCCATACTTAAACAGTTTTAGACAGTTTTCCGGTTTTGAGCTAACACTTTGAGAAGCTTGAAAAGTGGACTTCTGAGCTTTGCCTCGAACTTCCAAGCACTCCATGGTGTAGAAAACCTTCCCAGATTCAATACAAACCATCAAACGTGAGTTTTCATCAAACATATTGAAAGAACCAAGCCTCCAAAGTAGTCTCCTGAAATTGTAAAAAGACTTGGACAAAAATCAGAATTGTTGTTAGTTTTTGAGGTGTCTTCTTGATCACACAATGTCGACTTATATATTGATCCAATTTGGATCATATCAGGTAACAAATTCGTGGGACCCATGGACTTTAAGGGTCCAAATTCGTGGGCTCCACGGACTTGAAAATCCCACCTCTTTAGGTGGGAATTTATCATGGACTTTGATGTCCATCATTTTTTACCAACATACCCTCACATTTTCTTACTTTTCTTATATCATATAGGGCAATAAAGGTAAATCACACTTCATACATACAAATTTAATTAACAAAATCTATCATGAAATCCATCAAAAAACAATGGTCTTTATCAAATCCATAATGAACTCGAAACCCTCATATATCCATGGTTTTCCAAACCCCAAGTTAAACCAAAACCTTCATTTTTCTAATCCACGAAGCAAACGACCCCATATGTTGATGAATTAGGATGAGGCTAACTTAATGATGAAATTGAGAGGGTGATAAGGATGACAATGAGGCGGCGCGGGTCGGTTATCTCAATACTCATACCCGTCTCGTATTGAGCACGAGTCAGGTTGGGTAATACGCACACGAGTACGAGGTGGAGCGGGTCTATCCATTCTTATATGTTATTTGAAGAAGAAAAAAACGTCGATATTTAACTCTTGGGCTAATACCACTAGGAAACCCGAACTATTAACTTTGTGTCATTTGTGTCCTAAAGTATTCGATACGACATTTGTGTCCTAAACTATTTCACCGTTAGAGTTGACCGGCGTTGACCGTTAGTTTTTAACAGAAAATCCAGTAAGCGCTGATGTGGCATCCGACGTGGAATATTATTATTTATTATTTATTTATTTTATTATAAAAAATAAATATACTAACAAAACAAAAATTACAAAATACAAAAAATTAAATATAAAAATACAAAATAAATAACTCTTCTATCTCTCCTCCGTAGTCTTCGCCGCCGGAACTCCTCCCGCCGCTTCTTCGTCTTCTCTCCTCACCTCCGCCGCCGACAACACATCCTCCTCCTGGCCGCCTCTAACGCCGTCACCTGCAACAAACAAGAACAAACCAATATCAAATACCATCTCCAAAAATCCATCCCAAATACCATCTCCGAAACCCAACCCAGATCTCAATACCACAACGAAATCAGAAACCCCAACCCAGATGGGAGGCGAGCGGTGGCTGTGGGTGGTTGTGGCGTTTCACAGCGGTGGGAGGAGACGAACGAAGACAAGTAGAGGTCGAGGCGGCAGGAACGAGGGATTCAATCTCCGAAACCCAACCCAGATGGCCAACAAAATAATCGAAATCCCTAAAAATTTCAGGGTTCCTTTCTTATCTGAATCCCAACTCGTATAAACAATTTCAAGAAGAATGGCATGGGGGAGTGGCGACTTACGCGATGTGACAGAGGATTCTGCCATGGATTCCGTCGGAGGTTTGATGCAAGTTCTTTTCTCGTCTCTGTGAAATTCGGATTTTTGTTTATGATGAGAGAGGGACTCGGATCTGGTAATGCTTTCTCTCAGGGTATGCTCTTGCTCTGGATATGACCGCAAGAGAAATCCAAGCTTCTGCTAAGGTAGAAATGAAGAAGGTAGGGGTGTGAGTCGATTTTACAAAGAAAAAGAGAAAGGAAAGAGTGGCTGCGGAGCTCGGGCGACCGGAAAAACCAGAGAGCGGCAGGTGATGCCGGAATTGGATGTCGCCTAGTCGTCGACCTGTCTTTTCCCTCTCCCGATCCATCTTTGTGCTCTCTCAGACCCTTCATCGTTGGCGATTCCGGTGCCCCATCCTATTCATCCTTCTTCTCGATTGCGATGGTTGGTATTTTTTTGATATGGGTTTGTAATTGGATGAAGGAGGATCGGCTGTGGACAAGCTGAAGAGCAGAGGGAGTAGGAGGCAGTGGGGGAGTTTTCCTTTACTTTTTTTTTATTTTAATTTTTAGAAACAATATTAATTAATTGAGTTTACATTTTATAATTTTTATAATAATATATTATTTTTATAATTTTTATTTAATTTTTAATTAAAAATATGAGGTGTAATTGACGTGGCATCTACGTGGCTGCCACGTCAACAAAAGTCAATGTTAATGTTGACTTCTGTTTGGTCAACCGTTATCTATAACGGTCAACGAAATCGTCAGGACATAAATGACACACAACTATCATACATTGTGATACAAATGTCATATCGAATACTTTAGGACACAAATGGCACAAAGTTAATAGTTCGGGTTTCCCAGTGGTATTAGCCCTTAACTCTTTTACAAGAATACACTCCATAATTGAATGAGAAATATAATAGAAGGAATAACTGAGTCTAAATATTTGAAAGATAAAGTCTTAATATGTCCTTAAATAGAAAAAATATTTTACATAGGTTAAAAGATGAGAAATACATGTAAATATTGATACAAATCATAGTAAAACCAACAGAGAACATAAGAGGATGGGACATAACAAGTTGAAAGCAATACCTATACCCAACCCACACTACTACAAATTGAATAATACAAACCCAAACAAACCATAATAGGTCGGATAGCACGAGTCATATCAACAAGGTTGTCAAACCGGTTTAAGTCATTGAGCCGGTCAAGCAAGGGGTTTGAGGTTTAATGGTCTGATCGGGGTCCGGCCGGTTTGAGCCGTTTTAGACGTTTTCTAAATATATATACAAATAAAGTAGTAATTAAAAATTTAATGAGAAATAAAATTTATCTTACATATATCTATTAAAAACTTATTTTCAACAAAATAAATCTACCTAACCTCCATGATCCACCTACCATTTCACTTCCTTAGTTCCTTTTCCTCTCTTCCGTCTCTCTTCTTCTTCCTGTTTAGGGGTCAGACCGGGGGGTTTTCTGGAGGCCGTTTTGAAGCCCAACTCGGGTCGACCCGGATCGAATCAGAGGTTCGATAGGGGTTTAACAACCTTGCATATCAGAGATTGTCAGTGTGAATTCATTTTAGTGGTCATTTCCTTGCATTCCATCCCAATTACATCCAATTGAGACAGAAGGACGAGGAAGGCTTTCTGAAACCTGAGGACACACAGAACCTTATTTATGTTTTACAATTGTTGTCGATCGCGCTTCAACTGAGCTGAAGAACCTTCCAGAACCAGAATCCAGACCCCAGAAGTGGTATTTTTCTTTCTTTTCCTGACTTTTCTCTAGACTTTTTCCACGATCATGGATCGTCGGTGCTATCAAGTTCCGCCATTTGTCAAAATGACTAGAGCCGCCTCCCACTTGCCTCCCCATAAATGGTAAAATACTAAACAAACTATTCCTCCGATTCCAGGCTCCTTCCTTCCAGCCTCCCTATTTATATAATCCACCAGGCACCACCATTTTACCGCATCAAACCCTTTTGGCCACTCTTTAATCAGTACCCTCAGAGCTTTCCCCTTTCATTTCTTCATCTCTCTCTCTCCCAGCGCAGCAATGGCGGCGATCAATGTCCACGGAAGCCCCTTCTCCACTGCCTCCCAGAGGGTATTCGCCACTCTCTACGAGAAAGATGTGGACTTCGAGTTCGTCAACGTCGACATGCGATCCGGCGAGCACAAGAAGGAACCCTTCATTTCTCTCAACGTAATAATCTTTCCCGGAATCTGAAACCAATCTGTCTTCTTTCTTTCCTCTTCATTCAATTTTTTGGATTTGAATGAATACCCAAATCTCTATTGACTCGATTTCCTCTCCCCTAAATTTCTTGGTTGCAGCCTTTTGGGCAGGTTCCCGCTTACCAGGAAGGCGATTTGACCCTCTTCGGTAAATATAACACTATCCCAGAAGCTAGCTAGCTTTTCCCTAATTTGCTACCATGTTAATTGAGATTAGAGTATCTAGGTCCTCTCTGCTTTCCTTTTCAATCATACTGTTTCCAATAGTACTAAAGGGTAGTTTGGAAGTTGAGTTCCTTCTTGAAATCAGAGGATTTATAAAAATGTGTATTTAAAATGTAGATCCTCTGATTGAAGATCAAAAGAGAGTGTGATGAAATTTGTGAATTGAAGTTTCAATCTTTCATCCTAAAACTGAGGAGTTGTTGGTCTTCGGTTGGTTTAGATTACAGTAGCTAGGTTCTATCTGCTTCCTTTTCAATCATACTGTTTTCACAGTAATAAAGGGTAGTTTGGGAGCTGACTTTCTTCTTCAAATCAGAGGATTCATAAATGTGTGTATGCAAGATGTTGATCATCTGATTAAAGAACAATCATTTACTGTTGTCGCTTCTGCTTAAAGTTTCAATCTTTCATCCTAAAACTGATGAGTTGTTGCTGATATTTGGTTGGTTGTATGACGATGGCAGAATCAAGGGCGATCACAGACCACATAGCCCAGAAATTCGCAAGCAAAGGTACACCCCTGACAACCGGAGAGCCAGAGATGAAAGTATGGCTGCAAGTGGAGGTCAACCACTTCGAGCCGGCTTCATCGCAGCTGGGATGGGAGCAGGTGTTCAAGCCAATGTTCGGCATGACCACCGATCCAGCAGCAGTGGAAGCCAACGAAGCCAAGCTGTCCAAAGTTCTGGATGTGTACGAGACGAGGCTGTCCAAGTCCAAGTACTTGGGAGGTGACCAGTTCACATTGGTGGATCTTCACCACCTCCCCAACATTCAGGTCTTGAATGGAACGCCCACGAAGAAGCTCTTCGATTCTCGCCCCAAACTCAGTGCCTGGATTGCTGATGTTACTGCCAGGCCGGCTTGGTCCAAGGTCCTTGCTATGCAGAAGCAGTGAAGCTAGGGAAAACCAGTGCTGCTCTCTTGTCGACCTGGAGTTGCAAGTGTTTTTATGTGGTTGTTGTTAGTTGGCTTTTCGTCTTTGTGTTTGGTTGGACCTCTCTGAGCTGCTTGTTGTTACAGTCTTCTATGGAGGACTGGATTGGGAAGCTTTTTCTTGTATGGCATTTTAAAGAATAAAAGTAGCCAGGAGCGGGACTTAGCTTGTGGTTGTGGTTACTGGTTATTGTGTTGACTGTGCTTCTCTTTGTGTTTGTTTTTGGAGAGAAAAGCAATGAGAATCAGAAAAAACGAAAAAGTGTAGCTTTGTCGGCCATTTTGTCTTTTCAAACTCGCAACAGTGGTGAAATTCCTATGATATGAAATCGCATTAGTGGTGACTCGTGAGTAGGGCTGCAAATGAGCCAAGCCGCTCGCGAGCAACTCGGCGTTCGAATCGGAAAAAACTCGTTCGACACTCGACTCGTTGTTTAACAAGCCAGCTCGCGAGCTGGCTCGTTAGTAAACGAGCCAAGCTTGAGCTAGGCCATGCTCGACTTGATAAGCTCGTGAGCTAGCTTGACTCGGTGGCTTGTTGAGCTAAGCTCGCGAGCTGGCTTGTTTAAAGCTTGTGAAAGGATTAATTACTTTTCTGAACATGAAAATTATCTTGTTAATAAGGATGTGTATGGAAGTTAGATGTTATTTTTAATTTGTAGTGTTGTTTTTATCATTTTTAATTTCTAATGTTCTTATTTGTACACATTTTTCAGCAAGAATGGTTTCAAATCGAGCTTATCTTGAGCCGAGCTTGTACTCAGCTTGACAAGCTGTGTTAATGAGCATTTACCGAGCTTTATCGAGCCGAGCTCGAGCTGGATTATTTTTAATCGAGTTAAGCTCGAGCTCGAGCTGGATGATGAAAATTCGAGTTCGAGCCGAGCTCGAGCTAAAAGATTTATAAACGAGCCGAGCTCAAGCTAAGCAAAAACTCGACTCGACTCGGCTCGTTTGCAGCCCTACTCGTGAGGGTACTAAACCATCGCCAAACTGTAAGATTAGGATTAGATGTGGATCAAAAGCTGCTTTGATTCTGTTCAATTTGTACTTAAATTCATTTCTTTGTATTTTGTAATTGAAAGGACTAGAACTAGATGAACATATATATAGAAAATAAGTAATTAATAAGATTTGTTATTCAGCATGGTTGTATAACATAAAAAAAGGGGGTGTAGTTAACTTAAAAGATATGAACCTATAGAATAGCTGATAACGTAAATGGTTACAAATCTATGCACTTAGTACAAAGCAATCAGAAAAAATATAATTTTGTACGTTCGAATAAAATATGTTTGAGCGAATAACAAAGAGGTCATTCCGTCAATTTGTACCCAAAAATTCAGTTACTTCCGTCCAATCAGCACGCCACATTACTTAACATATTAATAGAAAATTAATGACCAAACCCAATTAACGAGAATTCAACCCAACCAAACCGAACTCAACATACCGACTATACCCAAGCACGTGACTGTGAGGTTTGGGCTTCACTTTTGGGTAATTGTAGCTTTTGATTCCTCTCTACATTTTGGGGGTTTGAGCAATAAAATCAATTAGGGTGGGCCTACGGTGACATGCATGTCACGGTGACTTGCACTTTCCGGTCGACTTCAGTTAGGATTAGGTCGACCTCATTTAGAATTCGGTCGACCTCATATAGGATCTGGTCGACCTCATTTAGGATTCGGTCGACCTAATCTGTTGTTTCAGTGTAAAAACAGTTCATGGTGCCTACTTTAGATATTCATATCATACAATTGGCTAGATGGAAATTGAAGACTAATGACTTGTTTTGAAGCTGGAGTGTCCCTCTACATATTGAAGTGATTGAGAGCTCGATAGGAAGTCCAGAAGACCATTTTTGAACCTCATCAAAAGGCTATGCCAAAACTGGGAAACTGCATGGAAATGGCCAAGTCTGGAAACGTGTTTGTGAAACCTATTTTGGAGCTCAATTCGAGAAGCATGAATGCGAGTCGAGTCCAGGAGCCTCTACCACGTTAAATTAGGTATACTTTTATACAAATTCAAGGCATTGGATGAAAGATTGGTTATCTGTAAGGCTTCAAACAAAAGGGTCGAAGTTGCTACGAAGGCTATTTTTCTGGCAGACTTCGAGCACAAGCAAGCTGCCAGAAAAACAGCCTTCGTAGCAACTTCGAGCCTTTTGTTTGATGTCTTAAAGATATTCAATCTTTCATCCAATGCCTTGCCTTTGTATAAAAAAATACTTAATTTAACGTGGTAGAGGCCCCTGGACTTGACTCACATCCATGCTTCTCAAATTGAGCTCCAAAGTAGGCTTGACAAACACGTTGCCAGACTTAGCCATTTTCTGGCAGTTTCTCAGTTTTGGCATAGCCTTTTGGTCAGGTTCAAAAATGGTCTTCTGGACTTTCTATTGAGCTCCCAAGTACTTTAATGTGTAGCGGGACACTTCAGCTTCAAAACAAGTCTTTAATCTCCAATTTCCATCTAGCCAATTGTAAGATATGAATCTCCAAAGTAGACACCATGAAACTGTTTTTACACTGAAACAACATATTAGGTTGACCTAATCCTACATGAGGTCGACCGAAAAGTGCATGTCACCGTGACATGCATATCACCGTAGCAAAGTCCAATCAATTAATGTAGTACGGCAGGTGTACTTTTATATACTCTGTAATTTACTCTGAGACCTTACTCATTTTTAACAATTCTCCATATCCTTCCCAGTTCCCAGCGTCTGACTAATCCAGTATAGCACTAATGCTAATCAGAGTTATTAAATTCAGCTTCTTCCTAGATTATGATAGGGACTGTATAGTAGAGTTAGAGAAATAGATTAGATCGTTTGAAAAATTATAGATAAAGTCGGATCGTACAGGTCTGGACAGTAGACCTTTAGAATGGTTTATGGTTTGTATTATAGGATGTATCGATGTTTTGGTCTGCTTCAGACCGCGATTTGACAGATCAAACTGTGGACCCAATCCACTTTTCAATTCATGTTAGTAGCTCACTCGATCATTTTCTTAACTCCTCAACGAGACCCAAGTCTCAACCCTAATTTTGTAAATCCCGTCCACTCCTTCATTCACAAACCACATTCTACCACTTAGTGGAGACGATCGCGTCTACATAGAAAATTATATTAATATTTATGATGTTATTTATAGTGCAAATTGTAGCTTTGGATTCCTATCTACATTTTGGGGTTTGGGCAATAAAATCAATTAATGGAGCAAGGTAGGTGGACTTTTATCGTTTTCATCACTCCATCAAACATTGTATTTTGGAAATTGCTATTATAACCATGTAGTTTACTCTGAAATTTACTCATTTTTAATAATTCTCCAGATCCTTCCCCAGTTCCCAAGGTCTGCCTAATCAAGTATAGCATTAATGGGAATCAGCTATTAAATCGAGCTTGTTCATACATAATAGATAATGACTAGAGTTGGAAATCGGTACGGTATCGAAATATCAAAATTTCAAATATTGAATTACACTTTAAAATCAATTTCAATCCCAATATCTAAATTACTTTGGTATATCAATTGGAATACCGACAATATCGATTGGGATATCAAATATTTAGAGATCGGAATTTTGGTACGGTATTAGAATACTAAAATCCCGAACACCGAATTGCACTTTAAATCAATTTCAATCCCAATATCTAAATTAATTCGATATCTCAATCCCAATCTCTAAATTTTCGGCATCCCAATCGATATTGTAGGTATTCCTATAGGTATTTGCAATTAATAATTAAATATATAAATTAGAGTATGCAATCTTATTAGCGCAAAGAGACTAGCTAGACAAAGGGTCTTGAGTTCGCCTAGAGCTAGGACATGGATAAGGAGAAGGGAGGAGATGGTGACATCTCAATTTTTTGTCATTTGTAATTTTACTTAAGCAAATTGGAGGCCGAGAGACGACTAATGAGAATGTATACTTTTTGGTGTTATGAAAATAACAAGAGATTGAGTGAGAGACAATGACTTAAAATGGAAATTCAAAATTGGGTTGGAAGGGTTTTCTGAGTTGTTAAAGATGGAGGAATAACCAACGGTTGTGTGCTATATTTCATTAATTTTTAATTTTTGGTATTTATCGGTATTTTGGTATAATACCGATCTCAATTTCGTAATCTCGAACCGAATAACACTTGAAAATGAATCTCAATCCTTAAAAAATAAATCAGTATTCGATAATATTGAATTGTGATAAATTCAGTATGATATTCGGTATATCCCAAATACCGGTACCAAACTTCTAGCCTTTTTTTTTAACTTCTAGCCCTTATTATGACAAAACTCATCCTCATTTTTATTCGTTTTATTTATTAAATAAACTTCCAACCCTTATTATGACAAAACACATCATCGCCCCTTCTCTCTCCTGAAAAGTCTTTAATTTTCCCTCATTTAATCTTTAACGGACGATTTCTCACTTTTTTTAAGAAGGAATTTTTTTTTGCAGTTAGATCGTATTAATTGTGCTCTTCAAAATGATATTCACTTTGATATATTTTTTGAACGAAAAAAATTTGAGCCATTTTTTACCAGTATATACCATATGGTATTGACTGGTATTAAATAAGAGCATACCATATGGTATGAAAAAGCTTATCATGGTGGTATGAACATACCAAGAATGTAGGATGATTGAATACATGATATTAGGAGTATAGTAACTGTCATTTACAACTTTAAACATTGTGTACCACAATATACCACCCCCGTACCAGGGTGGTATTGGGTGATTTTGTGTGATATTTTTTGATTATGTATTTTGTTCACCCAGAAATTTGTAGATCCAATAGATCATGATGAACTCGTTCCTTCTGTGCAAAATTTTTAAAAAACGACTTAAAAACGAAGAAGATACCATGTGGTATGCAATTGGTAACGAGAGGCAAGAAAAAAATATCTCAAATTTTTTTGAAAATGGATATCATTTTGTAGAACACAACGAACTCGTTCCATCTGTACAAAAAAAATTTTGAAATCCGACTTAAAACGAAGAAGATATGAGCCGATTAAAAAACAAGGGAAAATAAAAATGTTTTTAATTCATCGTCTTTAGATCTATATTTTCTGAATGAAGGGTTCAAATTTAATTATTGATAGGTGCATAACAAATAACAATGTTATGCACCGAGCAAAGAACACTCAAATTTATAGCCCTTTTTTAATCAACAACATTACCTCCTCTAGGTAGAATGTTGTGTATCCACTCCATGCAAACACTCTTATCTTAAAGAGGATCTTTAATTTCCATATTTGTTTCCAATTCACTAGGGTGTACCGATCTCCTATCTCATCTGTTTATGCTTTTGGCCAT